TGCAGCAGTGAGAGTAAACGAATAAATGTTTACCTTTACAAATACCGGCAAGCGCTAAGCACATTACACAGTTCATAAGAAATGCCCATATAATCTGTGGAGTGATGTCTGGTTTTTGTTTGTTTGTTTAATACATTATCATTGTGTTCTAGACTAGCTAATAGTAAGCTGGAAAAAGAAAAAGCAGAATTAATCCATCAGATAGAAGTTAACAAAGACCCAAGTGGAGCTGAGAGCACCATACCTGGTAATGTATTTTATAACATATTTATAGAATGTTTGCTAACCCAAGATTTGAATTAGGGTTTGCCTTTTTTGATTGTTCACACATTTCTGCTGACTGGCTTCCTATAAAAATCACATCCCTGATATAAGTGTTTAGAAGTATTTCTTTCCTCCATGCAACAATAATATTCCCATTGAGCCCTTTGAGTTGTTTGTAATATTGAGTAGCAAGTACTCAAGTGTTTTTCTCCTTGTGTTCCATCTGGGTGTTACAGATTTGATCGCGATACAAGGCTCAGCAGTGAAAATACTAGGTTTGTTGCTTCCAGTTTCTAAGTATAGGCCGTTTTAAGCCCTGTGAAGATTTTCTTCTAAATGTTAGTCTTTTTGTTGTTATTAATTTTAAAACTAGATGTAAGTAAACATGGCCTATATTCTTTTTCCCTTTTACAAAGTAAGACTATCTAGCCTTCTACCCCCTTCCATTCCCACTCAGAAGTGATTAGGAATCATTCCCCTGTTCCTATGTGCATATGCAAGCATATATATATATACACACACATAAGGTATATACATACATACACACAGCGAACAGTTGATCCTCTTTATTTGCTGAGTCTGCGTTTGCTAATTCCCCTACTCACTAAAGTTTACTAGTAACCCCAAAATCAGGACTCATGGCCCTTTTATGGACATAGACAGAGCAGTGAAAAATTTAAGTTGTCTGACCCATACCTTCCCAGGTGAGGTCCTGTAACAAGGCAACGCTCTGCATTCTCGTCTCCGCTTTCCTACAGAGATGACCAGGGGATGGAGACAGTAGTGGGAGGTGCAGCAGAGGGCAAGAAGCCCTCATTGTCGGGCCTGTTGGACGGGGTTAAATCCCAACTCTGACGCAGCCTCATGACTCATTGACACTTCTGAACTTTATTTTCTCTTATAAAACAAAGAAAATCCAATCTACCAGGATGAGTTGTTTCTAGGATTTAAGATTATAATCTGTCTGAAATATGTGTGTGTGTATACAATATATGTGTTTTCCCTAAGAACAATGGTTCATTTGCTAATTCATTGTTCATGTTAACTTTGTAGAACAGAACTACTGCAAATAATGAGGATTGTATATATATTATATGATAGCTTGATGGAAATGCCAAATTCTGTTCCAAAGGATTATACCAATTTCTTTCTGTACAATCTTTGACTATTTCATACAGCTTTTTCAATGTCCTGCCACATAGTCCTGTTGCTACTTCGTATTAAAGCTACCTTATGTGAGTTCTACCAGACACTATGCTAAGTGCTTTACAAGCATTCTGTAATTGCTTATAACTCTCTCTGGTAGGTACTGTTGTCTCCGTTTTACCTGTGAGAAACAGATTCAAAGAGGTTAAGTAACCTGCCCCAAGGTCACAATAGCCAGGAAGTGGCCGAGGCAGGATTAAACCTAAATCCATGAAACTCCAAAGCTCCCTGCCCATCTCTGCTCTTGACCGCTTTGCTGCATCGCCTCTCAGTGACTCAGGTTACACACGTCAACCTCTCTGGACAGTGCCTCTGAGAGCAGCCGGCGTGGTGGACTAGACGGGACCTGTACCAAAGAGCTGTTAGTGCTGTCGAGATTAGGCACGTTCTTTGTAAACCTCAGTTGCCTGAGAGGGAATTTCTGAACCTTCATATTCCTTTTATCTCCTATTTCAAGGAGATAAGGATACCTGTCATATTTCAAAGATTAAGGCTCAAAATCAAACCAACACTGTTTTGGAAATTCTAAAGCACTATTTAAATATAAGTGGTCACTAAGTAACTTTTGGAACATGTCACATATAATAATCACTTTTACTGCATTATTTCATTACCAATCTGTGCAATATATACTGTGACTGTTTAAGACAGTCAACTCTGACAAACTATTCGCACTTTCTGCAAAGGTGAGAGCAGCTTTGAAAAGTAAGATTTTGTTCTGCATTCCGAAGAATTTTAGGTTCTGCTGACTCACTCCTCTAAGAAAGGATGAGGAAAATATTTCCTGTCTCCAACTTATAATTAGGGGACCACTCCAAGGGCACCTCAATAGAATATGCTTCCTGTCCCATTCATGAAAATGTTTGCAGCCCGTCATATTCTCAAACTTGAATAGTACTTTAAAAAATTCTACCCTGCAATGGCTGCAAAATATGACCACATGGCACATTACATGTAGTGTTTAAAGAAAATGTTTCTAGTAAAGATGGCAATTAAAGCAAAAATCCTGTTGACCTATTGATTCTCAATATAAAATCAGAGATGTTAACTCTGGAGGAGGAAATCCAAAAGATTGAACTAAAGCTCTTACGCTGTTATTTGTATACTTTTGTTTTCCTACCAAAGTATCAGGCCTTACTCATCTTTGTATCATCCACTCTGCCTAGCACATTTTTCAGAGTAATGACACGATAAATGTGTACTGACCTACATGGAATAGCCGATGCTATAACTCACAGGAGCATTTGGCCAGCATATGGTTACCTAAAAGTCTACTGATTCTTCTGTTGTAGTTTTAGTACCTAACAAATTTTCCTGGTTCTAGAATTTTTCTCTGGAAGATAATTCCTTCCATGTAAAAATTAACCTGACTGTCCATTTCTAATACCCAGCAGATGCCTCCTCTTCATCTGCTATGGAATCACGATACCTGATTGATGGAGGAGGCATTCAGTATTCAGTCTGAAGTGTTTTATCCATAAAATGCCCTATTTTCCAGGCTCGAGGTTTCATGCATTTTCTCCTTATTCTCTAAAACGAATCCTTTATCTTCAACTTATTCAGAGTGGGGAAAAAGCTGAGTCTAATTTTTATAATTTTTTGGCAGATCCTGATCAACTAAAGGAAAAGGTAGAAGACCTGGAGACACAGCTCCAAACCTCAGATCTAGAAAAGCAGCGTTTGAAGGTAATTACTTATATGTAACCATGGTATTATGTTTTATGAAAACTATGATCACCATGTTTGAGTTTTAAATATGTATCCTATAAATTCCTGGGATTACATTTTATACTTATATTTGACCTTGACATTACAAAACTCATTATATTCATCTGTGTTAAAAATATTTATTAAACAGCACCTACCAAAAAATTCAGACAAAACAAACAGAAAGGATTAAAGAGTAAATTTATTTTTTAATTGTAACAAATATAGCTCATTATTTTAATATTTTCTGAAGTTTTGGGTTACATTGGGAACAGTCTTTTATTCCTGTTTGAAATTCTTTTAAGGAGTAGTCCCCTTAAAAAGATATTTACTATGTTTTATCTAAGAATCTGTAAACACAACAAAAGAGCATGAATGGGAGAATTAAGTGCTGGCTATTCTAAATGGTCATCAAAGTCAAACTGTCTCTTCCCCAGATGCCTAACTACTCTCAACCAGGCAGAAGTCCTGGAGTTGCCCTCATCATAAATGCATTTATAAGAAGTTGACCATTATTCATTAAAAATTAGGTATTTGTAAAGAAAATACAGATGAAGCCTAAACCAAAAAGTCTTAACCAAAATAACTTCAACGTTGTGAATAGCCAAGTCTTTTTGATTGCCTCACTGGGAGTATCTGGTACGCTTTTGGAGTAAGATTAAATTCCCCCTAAATTAAGAGCTGATAAAATTTAATCAAAGACTAAGACATAATTTACAAAACAAATAATCTGATTTGACAGTTAACTAGTTACTTGTACTGTACAATGAAACCTTATTAACAAAATCTTGAGAAAATACTTCTGCCTTTATAAGTACATTTGACTGTTGAGGTTCCTTTGGCCTTCTGGTTTGTAATTAAATCTCTTTAGTTCAAACCTAAAGAATGTATTATATTCCTACATACACCTTTTAAAGATAATATGTTTCTATTAGGAGGAAATAAAAAAGCTGAAAAAAGAACTGGAAAATTTTGATCCTTCGTTCTTTGAAGAAATTGAAGATCTGAAGTTTAATTATAAGGAAGAAGTGAAAAAAAATATTCTCTTAGAAGAGAAATTAAAAAAACTTTCTGAACAGTTTGGAGTTGAATTAACCAGTCCTGTTGCTGCTTCTGAACAGTTTGAAGATGAAGAGGAAAGTCCTGTTAATTTTCCCATTTATTAAGGGCCACCTATAACTGTAGTTTTACTTAACTATTTATTAACTGTTTAAGTTAAAATTCCATCTGGAAAGAAAGCAAGTCTCTGACCTACCTGATTTCCTTCCCAGTACTTTGTACCTTTACCTAAACTGGAATATTTTAGTAAATAAAATTATATGAAATTTTTAACATATTAGAAAGTATATTTTTGGGGGGGGGCCAGCTCAGTGGTGCAGTGGTTAAGTTCATGAACTCTGCTTTGGTGGCCCAGGGTTCCACAGGTTTGGTTCCCAGGTACGTCTACACTACTCATCAAGCCATGCTTTGGCAGCATCCCACATACAAAATAGAGGAAGAAGGGCATAGATGTTAGCTCCCGGCCACTCTTCCTCAAGCAAAAAGAGGAAGACTGGCAACAGGTGTTAGCTCAGGGCCAATCTTCCTCACTAAAAAAAAAAAGAAAGAAAAGAAAACTGACTATCAAAGAGGCAATGAGCTACGGTAAATTTCTGTACACTCATAATGTTTTGATTTTTTAGAGTATGAGGGTACACTTGAGCAATTTTAACATTTAAAATTGGAGTTTTATACATATTATATGTATTAAGATTCTTAAATTATATTCATATATGAGGTTATGAAGTTGAGTCATGTGTTGTTAAATGTCTAGCAAGATTAAATTCAGCTCAACCTATTTAATTTTGAAAGTAAATAATCCACAATTATTGATTTAATTGTTGTTTTAAAATTACTATCCAGTTATATTGGACAGAATCCAACCTTTGGATAAGCTGAGGAGCCTACTATTATGTACATTTTTAAGTCCATAGGTTAAAATTCATTTCCTGATTCTAAATAAAATTCTGAATAGACATTTGCAACTGGGAAATTCATTTCTTCAAATGCTAGAAGACATATCGATCTATCAGACACTGAACAATAAGTAAGAACCTTGAGATAGTTTTACCTTTTAAACATGGCAGACTATTCAAAATTGAAATATAACAATAATAAAGCTGGTTTTTAATTGCATTTCCAGTTTATACATCGAGTATTATATCTTTGAGCCTACCAAATTTCTGATTATCTAATTTTGAAAAATGATTAAACAAACACTTAGTATCAAAGGCATAGTCATATTTGTTCAAGTTCATGTTGATAATAACTGGTTTTGAGTTCATATAAGTATCTGGAATTGGCCAGCATAAACCAAGATGATGGCGATGGACCTGAAAAGAGAAAAAAAGGAGTATTAGGTTTAGCTTATATTATCTACATTCACTTACAGATATTTTTTGTGAGTGTCTACCATCTGCCAGGCACTCTTTAAGGCTTCACTTTATCTTACCCTTCTTTTTTCCACAGCTGTTCTCCTCCTGACATACTGCATATTAACTTGTTTATTGTCTGTCTTTCCCATTAGAACGTGAGCTTCATGATGGCAGAGACATTGTTTTGTTGACTCTGTACTGCCAGCACCTGGAAACATGCCAGGAACATAACCAGGGGCTCCAAAAAAATTTAATGAATAATAAGAGTCTGTTGCTGAGAACAGAAGTTAGCCAACTGAAACATGGGCAGTGAGGCACTGTAGCTAAAGGGAATATCACGTGCTAGAATGGTGTTTTTTGCTCCGATTACAATTAAGTATGGTTAGAACATATATAATGTGAGTGTTTGGGAGGTGGGAGTAGAATGCAGTTCCAGAAAGTTAAGCAGGGGCCAGATCATGAAATAACTTAATGTCACTAAACAGCTTTATGCAAGGAAGTAACATTCTCATTCATATACAAAGAACGGGCAAAACAGGGTAAGACTGAAAGATAATGTTTAGAAGGGTAATAGAATAATTCAAGTGTGAATCTTGGCTTAAATTAAAATTAACAGCCAATTGGTTGGGAAGAAGTACACAGATTCAATAGATCAGAATCTTTGAGAACTGATCATTGGATGTACGAAGTAAAGGAGAGCTGGGTTAAAATGATGTCTAAGTTTCTGGCTTCAGTAAATTTTTGTAGTCAGGGGGTTGATAGATTAGGTCCAGTTTTGAACATTATGAATTTTAGGAACCTGTGAGAAATCAAATAGATAAGTCCAGGAGACAGAGAGGGTACGAAGTGTAAAATAATTCATTCTGTATATATTAAGTGTTGTCACCTTGGCACTCTTTTAACTCAAAAATCTTCTATAATAAAGTAAGTTTGGGAAATGCTGAGTTAAACTAAGTTAGCACAGGATGTCTCAGAGAACAGTAATGTGCAACATGAATTTCCGAGAAGGGATTCTGTAGTATGCAGGGTTTCCAGACATTTTCACCACTTGAATTCTGAAGCACGTCTAGAAGAACCACTGGGAAACACTGCTTTATCATGTAAAGAATGGTGGCATGTGAGAGGAGGAAACTAAATTCTTCACTGCACATCAGAAGTACTGTAATTTTTAGAGAGTGTTTCAGGGCCACTTCTACTGTGGTTTAGGAACATAACACAACATAATCCCACAAGCTATTTTCTGCCATTACCTTGATTAAACAGCCGTCGTTGCAATGCCATACTATTCCTTCAATTTTACCCTCTCTGCAGCCTTCAAACCAGGACAGCAGATCATTGTGCTTCAAGGAAGGTAGATTCCGTATCTGAAATGCTCCATGTGGTATAAGAAGATGTAATGGATGCTTCTTGCTCCCCAGCCCTAAATGGTAAAAATTTGCCATTAGCCATACAACAGTTTGAAAAAGAATGAGAAAATTTACCTCTCCAAATAAAAAGCCTTTAAAAACATTTAGGAATAAATTTACCAAAAAGTTTAGTTGATTTCCTTGAAGACAGATACACATACGACAAGTGCTCTCACTCAAAAGTAGCACCTTATCCCATGAAATCAAATTCCACCTTCATGTCCTCTACACCAGGGGTCAGCAAACTGTGACCTTCAGACAAATCCAGCCAGATGCCTGTTTTTGTGAAGTGTTTCAATGGAACACAGCCACACTCAATCGTTTAAGTACTGTCTGCGACCTGTTTCTGAGGTATGGCCCATACAACCTAAATATTTACTATCTGGCCTTTAACAGAAAAAGTCTGCCAACCCCTGCTCTACACCATTAGCCATATTCAATTATCTTTCATTGTTTGCTAAACAGCCACGCCATATCTGATAACTTGTATAATTACAGCTTAGCTTCTCTCCACTTGCCAATCAGTCTGCTTCTGATTTCTATATGGGATTTCGCTATTCCAGCTTTAATGTCCTTGGGTCTGTTTTCATCCCCCTGTCAGTAATGTACTCCATAGTGCCCTGAGGACTTGTAGTCAATTCGGCATGGTATATATTTTGATGCTTGATATGCTACTTACTCACTGGCAATTCTTTATTTACTTTACTCTTAGCTATTAATTTATGCAAAACTAATTACCTAGCCATGAAAAGCACGTCATGATTTTCAATCAGCTCAGTTCACCTAAATTTTAAAAAGCAATGAAAAGTTACACTTGAGTAATTACTTTTGATACGTGGTTCTATAACATTATTACAGGAAAGAATGAGAGGCTAAAATCAACCTTTTGGATTAGTAAAATGGTTAGAGTCATGCATGAATTTCTCCATGGACCTAAAACTAATAGAAATAGCTATAATCCCAGGAAGCTATTCAACTCATTATTAGTCATTTCTTTGGAGTGTGTGTGTTTTTCAAGTTAAACCCTGGAAGTTCTCTCTATAAATGACAGTTACTCTCACTGAACAGGACAAAGGCTTTACTCACCATATGGGTTTCCGTTAATGTTTGTTCCTATAAGCTCCAGCGTTTGTTCTAAGAGATCTGACAGTGGCACTGCACTAACTTCCAAAAGACCAGGATCATCAGGATGATGCTTCAGGACCAGGGCAATTTCAAATTCGTAATTAACTACAGAGGAATGCCAGCAGTACTGTTTATTGTTTTTCTCTACCGGTACCCAACCTATCATTTAAAGAAAAAATGGTTTTTATTACATTGTTTTTCTTTTGATTGAGACATGACGTAATTTTTATTTTTGTTGTAAACTTTCCTTATTCTCTGGATGTTCTGTCACACAGCACTTTTAAAATCAGTGGAAACATTAATAGTTTTACTACTTTTTAAATCATACTCATTCTTTTAAATCATAAGGTTTCATTTTTTATTCTGTTGAGGAATTAACCTGTTTGATTATTCACTATAGAGCATCCAGCATTCTTTTACTAGAAAATTCACCTTTTCAATAAGAATTAAGCACCATTCTAGAACACAGCATTAAAACCTTTTTTGCATTAAGTTTTCTCTCTATCTTGTCTCCAGTTTCAGGGATAATAGACATATGCAGTAAGTGTTCCACAGTTTATTATATTGTTCCAATATTTATTGAACAATTTATTGATTCCACATTTATTGAATGTTATTGCTATTCCCCTCCTAACTCTCGTTGCCAAAATAGGCTTCCTCGTTGTGAAGAATTCTTTACAAAAAAAAAAAAAAGAAAAAGACAAACTAGGGCATATATGCCATTGTGAGCATCATACCTTTGGCCTTCAGTACGCCTCCAGACTACTGTTACCACCTCTCTGCTGGTCTACTAGTCTCCAGTGAAAGTGCCCCATTTTTATCATCGTTCTACTTCAAAAGTTTAAATTTAGTTCTGCTGTACCCCTGCTTAATCATCATCTTCAGAATAAACTTAAAATTCCTTTAGATGGAATACAAACCCCTTTAAGATCTGAGGCCATTCCACGTCTCCAGCCTCACCTTTTATAGTCCCCTTAAACATCACACACCCTAAACATTTCAAGCCCAATGAAGTGTTACATAAAATTTCCAAAAGACTACCATCTCTCTTCTTCATGGGCATTGCTTAAGGTGATCCTCCCTCTTCCTAGCCAGCTACCTTCCTGGTTCTTAAGCTTCAGTACAGATGTCCACTCCCCTTAGAAGCCTCCTCTCACTACCAGAGGTTGAACTAAGAATTCTTCCTTTTTTCTCTCACTGTACCCTGTGTATTCTTTCCGCTTTGCTCTTAAATCATACTATTATTGGTGGATTTCCCCTAATGTCTAAAAGATCATTGAGGATAAGGGTTCTGATCTTCATTTCTGTATTACTGGAACCTGAGAGCACTTTGTACATTATAGGTACTCAAGACATGCCTGTCGAACTGAACCTGAATCTGGTTTTGACTCAGCACACTTTTCTCAGTTTTCCCATCCCCAGAAAAACTACTTGTGAGACACCTATTTTCACCTCTCTTTATTGAAATGTTCTTCTAAGATCTTCACAAAAACTATACATACACACCCTTTGTTAACCCCAATCTAAAAGGTAAAGCATTCTTAATATCTCATTTTAGACATGAGAATCATATTGCCTATCCTGAGAACAGCTTCAAGGCTATTCCCACTCAATACTTTATTAATTTTCAGACTATAGGTAGCAAACTGCCCAACCTAGAAAAAAATCATAAACCTGAGAGGACATTCTCGATATGAAACATCTTTGGTATAAAATGCTAAACTTAACAAAAATTAGACTCACTCAGAAATTTCATGCTATACAGATAAATACTATGAAGAACCATAAAATTAAATTCTGTAATTTCTGATTGAATGGATCGTTTCTTCTTTATACTAGTAAACACAAAACTTCACTTGAGAAGAGGTTTCATAGTACCAGGAATGTGTCCATTTTCATCAGGCATTGGATTCCCATTGAATTGTTCTATTTCCTTCGCTGGTATCCAGCACTCTGGAACAGGTTTGAAGTCTTCCTCAACATTCCAAAAAAATTCTAAAAGAGTCAGATAATCTTACATGTGGTGTTACTTTAAAAAATATAAAATAATGAACAAATTCAAAGTGGGAACAGCTAATAAGCCCCTAATATCAGGCGTCATATAATTATTCTCCATTCATTACCTCCACAATGTGACAACACTTCTCAGGGTTAGGGTCCTAACACTTTAAATTTTCAATTTTGAACACACTACCACTTGTAAATAGTGGGTAACAGTGTAAACCAGCCAATGTTCCAGTATGTGTAGGTTTATCATGAATTTTCAATGCACTGAATACATACATATATAAAGATTATATATAGAGTAAATATATGAGGGTGTATATCTACTTATATAACAGTGGCATTTTAATGAATCATTAAAAATATTAATAATTCTTTGAGAATTGTGCCTGATATATAAAATTACATGTTTGTCTCTCAGGTAGACAAAATCAAAATGTCATTCATTTTATATATATATATTATATATATTTTATATATATATAAAATATTTGTAAATAGTTTATAAAATAGTTTCAGTAAAATCGATATACTATAAAGAGTCACAGAAATGTTAGGAAAACGTTTAAAAATATTTTTCAAGAATATTTTTTACGTATAAAGATATTTTCAACTGTAATTTTCTTCTTTCCCCAAAGTGCTTAAATTGTACAGAAGGATATAAAATATAGAAATACGATAGCAAGAAATAAGTCACAAATTTATGCTATTTAAATCATGAAAAGCTAAAAAAAAAATGAAAAAAAAACACTAACCTTTTGAATTTTGTTTTGAATGCAGAAAATTTTTAAATCTTTTCTCAGCCAGTTTGTTAGGTTTTCTGTCTAGCCGAGCCCAAAGGTATGGCTGACCTAAAGAATAAAAGAAAAAGAAAGTATTAAGAGGCAAACAATAAAACTTCTCTTGAATGAAACTTTTCAATGACCAGTAGGGTCATCTCCCCTAAGAGAAGCAACCCTGGAAGGCAAAGGGAAATACGCAGTCTAAGAGACACATCCTACAGAGTGGTAGCTGATGTTGTCACAAGACTTAAGTTTTTGGTTAAAGAATGATGGGGATGAGATAAAAAGTAAATACGTGACCCTTTCATAAGGACATTCCACAGCCTTTTTTGAGGGTGGGGGGGCAGTGAGGAAGATTGGCTCTGAGCTAACATCTGTTGCCAATCTTCCTCTTTTTTGTTTTTTTTTTTGGCTTGAGGAAGGTTAGCCCTGGGCTAACACCTGTGTCAGTCTTCCTCTCCTCTGTATGTGGGTTGCCGCCACAGTGTGGCTTGATGAGCAGTTTAGGTTTGCACCCAGGATCTGAACCCGCAAACCTGGGGCAATGAAGCAGGGCGTGACAGACTTAACCACTATAGCATGGGGCCAGCCCCCTCCACAGCTATATTTTATTAGTAACTAGCATTTGTGAGAAACTGAAACTACCTCTATACTAAATGGAAACATAACCAGGTAACTGTATTCACACCTTCCCTGAAACATTATAACCATCTGCAATGAGGGTTAACTCCCGAAAACCTGGCATTAGGCTGAGCTGCTCTGCATGGCTCTGACCCTTGGTCAAGCCATGAAACGCTGATTAATAGTGCTGCTGTGTAATCCTGGACTGGAGGGGCTTCAGGGCAGTGTGCCAGCACTCTTTATTGATAACAGTGAGACTAATGAGTTGCACCTGGTCTCGGTGAGCCTTCTGGAGCTCTGTCTTACGGCTGGTTACTTAGCAGGAAGAGGTCTTCATGCCAGCAAAATATAAACATCCCCAGCTGAGACTCCATTTCGGATTCCCTGTTTCCGAGGTTCCCCTGCATACATCAGTGGTTCCTGACTTGACAAAGTGCATCCTGCCAGGACCTCAGGGATGGGGTGCAGATGTGGGGAGACAACAGGAGCTCACCTGGCCTCTCCAGACCCTTTGCTGTGAGATAGTCTTTGGCTGTGATACACTTACTTTTAATGCCCTTGCTTTATTGTATTGTCTTTACCTGTAATAAACTATGGATTTGTAAGCATTGTCATTTTGAGTCCTGTTAAGTTTTCTTTAGCAATCCAATTTCATTATACATAATCACATAATGGTGCACAGTGAAGTTTCTTAATATAAATATAAAAGCCTGAAAATCTTTTACAATTCCTTCAAAGATATAAATCAGAGATTAAAAAATTATTCATTACAGTTTGGTTCAGACATTCTGTATTACTTATTAGCTATCAAGAGAAATAATACAAAGAACCAGATTAAAATTATATTGTCATTTCTGGTTTTGTTCTTTTTACTAGTAAACATAAGAAATGCATTTCACTCACACCCATTAACATGGCTACTATTCAAAACCCAGAAAATAACTACACTGTTGGTGAGGATGTGGACAAACTGGAACTCTTGTGCACTGTTGGTAGGAATGTATGTGGTGCAGCTGCTACAGAAAACAGTATAGAATTACCATATGATTCAGCAATTTCTCTTCAGGATACACAGACCCAAAAGAATTGAAAGCAGGTTCTGAAAGAGAGATTTGTACACCCTGTTCACAGCAGCATTGTTCACAATAGCCAAAAGGTGCAAGCAGCCCAAGTGTACACTGATGGCTGAATGGATAAACAAAATGTGATATACATATACAATGGAATATTATTCAGCTTTACAAAGGGAGGACATTCTGACATATAACTACAACACGGATAAACCTTGAGGACCATATGCTAAGTGAAATGCCCAGTCACAAAAAGACAAACACTGTATGACTCCACTAATATGAGGTATCTGGAGTAGTCAAAATCATAGAGACAAAGTAGAATGGTGGTCACCAAGGGCTGGAGGGACGGGAGATGGTGAGGTGTTTAGTGGGTAAAGTGTTCCAGTTGTGCAAGATGAAAGCGTTCTGGACGTAGATGGTGATGATGGCTACACAATAATGTGCGCTGTATATACCACTGAAATGGGCATTTAAAAATGGTTAATATTATGTTATGTATGTATTATCACAATTAAAAATGAAAAAAATGCATTTCAGAAGAGATTTCCTGATACCAGGAATGTGTCCGATTCTCATTTAACTCTTCTTTCTCTCACTGGAATTGAGAGGTAATTTCATCCAGAAGAAATCACAAAGATTTCTTTCTCTCTTTTCAAGGCAATTTTCTTAACACAGGTGACAACTTCTATTTGAGTTTCTAGCTCTTTTAAAGTACATTAAAATGAAATAGAGACACTGCCAATAGTAATAAAACAATGGAATCAGTGGAAGAACAAGCTTTAGGGTCAGACAGACCTAGGTTCTATTACCAGTTCAGCCATTCATTAATTATAAGGTCTGGGACAAATTATTTAAGTTCTCTGAGCCTCGGTTTCCATATCTGTGAAATGGAGAGGCTTATCATGCAAATTAGAGGTAAGATGTATAAAGCATTTATCATACTGTCTGGCCTTTAATGGGCATGAAGTCAATGTCAGTTTGTTAGTTACCTTCCTTCCCTCCCCCAAGAGAAAGATACAATGATATAATAAGTATAATATAACAATTGTAACTTCATTATTATTATAATACTTGGGATTCCAAGGGTTTATGAAGAGCAAATGCTCCATTTCACATATATATAGTTTCTAAAGTGATTAAGAAAAATAAGTACTATTTTGTAGCATAGTTTCATTTTACCTTTGTAGGTGGTAATATAACAACATGTTCCATCCACTTTTTCTGTTGGAATTGCACTGTATATATCTGCGTCTAATGCCTTGTGATTTACAGTTTCAGTTGCCAAAACTTTAAATGGCTTAAAAGAGAGAAAGAGAAAACCAGTTTAAGATAGACAGCCTCTGTGCCTTTGCACACACTTGCACCTGGAATGTTCTTAATTTCACTAGTTCTAAGGGACAATTTTCTGTTTATCTTTCAAGACAATTTAAAAATATTTGTTCCATGAAGTCTCATGATTCACTCCCTTCCTTCTATGTTATCACAGCACTACCCGTCTTTCCACAAGGATTTGTAATTATTCACGTTTCTTTATCCACCATAAGGAGCTTGACACTGGAATCATGTCGATTGCAGCGCTGCATCGCTAGCACAGGAATGCAGTGTATTCAATCAGTTACTTGACAATTATCTGCTAAATGCCTCCTATGGGCTAAACACTGTCTTTGGCACTGGGAAATACAGAGATGCACACAAAAGCACCTGCCTTTCGTGGAATTTTCATTGTAATCAAGAAGACTAGAATAGTAACAAAATGTATAAGACAATGTTAGGTATGATAAGTGCTAAGGAGAAAAAGAGATGGGGATCCTTTCAGCTTCAGCAGTAGTAAATTGTTTGCATATTTAATTTATGGTTTTTCTACTGTCAGGAAGACAAGCCAGAAGAGCATCAAGAATGGAGGAAAAGGCAGTTTCTATGATTCCAACTTTTTATCTGTGATTTATTTTCATTTCTGAGAAAGACACCATTGTTTTATAGTCTAAATTATCTGAAGTAACATTTATCACACATAACATAAAAAAACACTGCACAGTATCAACATCATACTGGTGTAGATAGGTTTAAGACTAATAAGTGGAAGTACTGTTTCAAAGTCAGGTAAACTTAGGAAATTAGATCCATTCTGCTACAGATTCAGTACTTTTAAGATAAAACTGAACGACTGGGGATTTATCACTAACTTATGACAGTGCTATCAGAGGATATCATCTTAATCTGTGATGGCAGAACCAAGGTTTGGCCCAACAGCAATCTGTGTGTGTAAATTTATCAAAGACTCTAGGGGGGAGATTACTCTGCCCACAGAGCTCTTGATAAGTACAAATATCCCTCCAGAAGAATCTATTATCTACCACTCTTTGCTACAGACATGTCCAAAGGACAACATTAAGATACCAAGGGGTAGACAAGTTCTCCTTCTCTACCTCTCATTAAAGACTTTAAACTATGACTGGAAAAACAAGGCACGTGTGTATAAAAAGTAATAGTGATTAAGTGAGTGGTTCTTTACAATTTCTGGGTAGAGGGGATCACTGGGATGACTAAATTGATCAAAGATTTCATAGAGAAGGTCTCAGTCAAAAAATTAAAAATTCCAGAGGTGATCCAGGTAGTGTGGCATAGCCTGGGCAAAAGTATAGAGACAGGACTGTGCCTGGCACAGTCAGAGAATGACATAGACTTTCACTTTAAGTGAGGTTAGAGAGCAGATGGGGCCAGATGATTATAGGGATGCCTTGAATTACAGATAAGGATTTGGATGCTATACTATACACAATACTATAAGCTATCCTTAAGAGCAGAGGGACAAGAGAAGGGGCTTATTTTTCCCGGTGGAGGGTAATTTTCCAAACTACACCCACCCCTCAACATACAAACTTGAAAATCACAGCTGAACCACTATTCAGGATGAGTGTTTCATGTGGATAGGTTTGTGAGGGCTTACAAAATAAAAGCTTGACAACTACTGCTGCAGACACTGAGTATTAACTGTGGGGTTTTACTAGGAAAGAACGTAATGATGATCATTCTGGGTGGCAAGAACGAACAATCAAGTAGTGCAATAAGCAGGGCATAAATGTTAAGAACTATAACAACTGGTGGCAGTAGAAAAGAGGATGGAAAGAGCAGATGTTCTAAGATATAAAGCGTCAAGGTGAATGGAAAACTGGCATGAAATGACCCTAGGCTTCATTCTTTAATGCAACAAATATTTATCCAGTGCCTACCGCGTATCAGGTCCTAGAAATGGGACTAGAGATAACAGCGCAGCCTTGGCCGTATAGGTCTTTTAGTCTGGAAGACAAGACGGCGGCCAGTGCGAGCGACGTAAGGGGCGTGGGGTCGACGTCAAACGCACAGGCTGATTTTGTCTGATAAGTGGGAAGCACCCAGCTGATACCTGAAGATTCTGGTATCAAGGACTTCTCTATATGTTAGGGAATTATCCTGATACAGGTGACTATTCATTCACCGGCATTTACTAAGGGCCCTCTATGTGTAAGACACGGTGCTGGAAGGATAGAAAAACTGGAGATGGGAAACCCAAAGTCAGAACCATTAGGTAATTACTGGGAACACCACCTGAGGTCTGATCTTTAGTGACCTATTAGGCTAGCTGTCAACACTACCATCGGTTCCCAGGTTAGAACAGGTAAAGCAAGTCTTCCAAAATCGCCACTATGCTCTACGCTCTTAAAAAGTAGTAAAGCTTGGACTGCGAGATTATGGGAATCCTTAAGGGGTTTTCCCGAAAAGGCAGTAACCTGAGAAGAAAGCAACATTACTTACGACGTGGGTTTTCAATTTCCCAGTGCAAAAGGAAGTCTGAATCGTCCAGCAGAAAAGTTCTCTCGCAGATTCCCTCCCTTGCAACCAAGAAGGTCCAAGGACCTGGAGCTCAGGGCCTAGGAGACCCCGACCCTAGACCTCCCCCAGCCAAACCTGCAGAAAGCTCCCGGGCCGCAGGGCGGCTCCATCGCACCCGGGCGCCCTCGGCGGGTTCAAACGCAGCGGCGCCGCGGGCGGAGGCACGTGCGGCCGCCCCAGGCCCCCCACCCTCGGTACCTGCTGCTCCCGTTTGCTGGAGGGCTCCTCTTTCACCTCCGTCACAAACAAGCACGGCATCTTCCGCTGCACCGAGCCCAGGCGCCTCATGGTGGGCCCAACAGGGAAGGCGAGTGCAGAGAACGCTTCCGAACCGCGCCGGGTCCCGACCCGCAACCCGACCACAACACCGACCGCGTAGTTCCACCACCTACTCTCGGCGCCCGGGCACGGAGGCGGCTGCGCCCCTGCCTCCCACCACACAGAGCGTGCGACGGGAGCGCACGCCCGGAAGCGGCCTCCTGGCCGCGGCGCCTTCTGGGAGTTGTAGTGCGGAAGCTGATGCTGACGTTAGCTCGTGTGTGCGCTCGCGAGCGTCTCCTTTGGTCTTAATAACAGTAAAAGAATAAAGATCCGTTTCTGAGATGTGTGTACTTTAACCACGCTTTGTAACAGTTATGAAAAGTAAATAATATCAAGTTATAAGTAATGAATCATTTCAGACGGCGGTTTAACACCATTCAGATGAAACCAACTTGCCTGTTCTCTTTAATAAGGTCCTGAGGGAAGCTCTGTAGACGTTTAGAAATATCCAGAGACGTCCCAAGGCCGAATGAAACCGATTTCCCAGGAAGAATGTTAGAGAACGCTACAATTAAAACACCTGGGACCAAAAAAAAAAAAAAAACCGTTTGGATTACGCTTCATTGTGCAGCAATATTGTCGAAATTGGTTCTCGTGTTCTTTCTGGAGTGAGTGCAAAGTCGAGCTTTAGAATAAACCAAAGCCTGATGAATACTGCCAACCATATTTTAATGTCAATTTTTTTCATCGGAATCTTATTATCTTAAATATGAGCTCCTGCAGTGTCCAAATGGCTTAAGTAGTTGTAGTCAATCAACTGCGGCTTTATTTGACTTACTGCTCGAAAGAATATTGGAGGGTCAGTGATAAGACAATGACTGCATAAAGTAAAAAATATTTAGTAATACTAGCCTTTCTATCTCATTGAAGTTAGTAGTCCTCGCTAGCGGAGTTTTGACTACCGCCATTTTTTATGTGCATGGACAAGGCCCAGGTCTCAGTTCTATAACTGTCTTATCTGCAAGTATGATACTGTCCAGCATTTTCCTGACTTAGCCCTTGGAAAATAAAATAACTATGTCTAACTTGGAGGTATCTATATATAAAGGGGTTCCCAAGAATAAAATATCCCTAAAAAGAATTCACTGTTTTCTGATTACTGGATTCAGAGGGGCCGGAGAGATGCAGAGATTTGCCATGTCAAAGTATTTACTTTCTCTTTTGCTATCTTTCATTTTATCATAGGAAAATACAAAAAGGCCAAAAAAAAGTTTTAAGGGGAATAAAGTACCTGATGCCAGCTGTGAGATATTGGGACTGAAAACAGCATTTTAGAGTCAAGCACCAGTGACTTTTTGTTCCTCCAGAGGAATCCTAAAAAGCAGGTTTTTTCACGGGTCTCAAGGGGACAACAATTAAATAACCCTCACAACTATCAACTGTCATTTTCCAAACTGCCACAGAATCTTCCAGGTCCAAAATTCTGTCATTTCTTAAAAAGGATCATCTTCCAAAACATTCCACTTGCTGTTTGAATAGTAGCAGCGAGGCTAACCATTCCTCAGGAAGCACTCTTTATTTCCAGTGCTTTGGTTTCATCAATGTTTGGAGCAAAGCCTCTAGCAGAAACAGTGGAGTCCAAGCCAGGAGAGCCGCAGGTCCAATTCACAGCTATAAACTGGACTCCTGCTTTGATAGGTAGCAGCCAGCAGCTTTGCCTGATTGTCATAAACCTGAAGAACCAGGAGGATTTACTACTAGTCCCTGTACTTAAAGTGCTGTTGTTGAATTACAAGCTGGAAGAAGGACTTTCTTCTCTGATTGATGTGCTTGTGTTCTAGCATGCCCCAAAGATGCAAGACACTCAATGGGAGTCTACCTTGGCCAACAGAAAATACCTACAGAATTTTCAGGCTTACCCTCCAGCTGCAGAGGCGAATTTCCCATACTCTTCATTACAGGGAGTAAAAATCCTCATGGGTGTGGTCATACCTTTCCCTGAAAGACTAGACTGAATTTCACAACAGGAAAGAAGTGAATAAAGAAAGGAAAAGAAAAGAGAGTTTAAAAAAAAAAAAAAGGAAGAAGAAGAAGAAATTAGTTCTCCAGGCATTCCAAAGACTACCAAAATATACAATCTATTTACTGTTCTTTGCAATGACCCCCTCCCCCCCGAAAAATCCCCATTTTGGTTTGACCTGTTTTTGTTGTGTCTAATGGACTCACAATGAACTTTAAGAGGTAAAAACATCTTTTCAGCCTTTCCCCTATGGAAAACATGGGTTTTCACAATGGCTTTAATCATGACGTTACATGTAATCATGCAATAATGGTCCAGTGCAGCTAAAAGTTCATAGGTGGAGAGGGAGTTTATCTGGAGGCCAAGACCGCTTAAAGATATTTCTTAGGGTTGTAAGTACAAGTAACCCACGTGCTTACAATGGATTCTTCATTGTTGTAGCCTTAGAAGGTAGAGCGAAACAAAAGGCATGATATTAGCTTTTACTATGTATCTTTGCTAATATTTTTAAGAAGTTAGCCAGATCTTTATTCTTTACTTCTTTATTCTTCTAATACTGCCTAGTTCTTTTTATTTTCTCTTATTTACAGTTATATGTGAGCAACTGTTTTCTACATTGTGGTTTCTTATTTTATTTCCTAGATTTTTACCCTAAATTATTGGATTCGGAAAGTTCATAGCAACTTAGTCTGTTTTACTTAAGCAAAATGGGAACCCGTATCTTTTAAATTGCCAGTTAAAAGTACATTGCAATTTAAAAGTACATTTTGATCTATTGTAATCTGTCATCTCTATAGCATCTTTTACGTCACCTACTGTGAATATTTTTATTAATTTCTGCTAGGTTCCAGTTCTTGTAGTAAAGATACTAAGATGAAGAAAGGCCTCAGTAATGCTGATTGAAGTGTCTCATTGTAGGAATCAGAGTACTTCATTTTGCTTTCAACAAATCCTCAAAATTTGCGAACACTCTGGAACCTTTCTGCTATAGGAAGCAGCTATTCCTCCTTTTATGACGGATGAAAAATGAATGAAATATATCTACAAGATGAATAAGTAGTCTGATTTATTTCCAGGTACCAATTAAAATATCACAATCTGAATGACAGTGGATATCAGTGAGTACATATTTAAGTAATTTTATTTATTATCTTGGAATATAGATAGCGTATTTACCTATTTAAAAATTTTAGTTTTGTTTCCAAACCATATATACAAGAAATAAGAGGGTTTAAGAAAATAGCTATTTACTTGTGAAATACTTAATTTTTAATTATAAAATTATGAACTTAGTTTATAGCCTGTATTCAAGCAGAACATTAAAAGATAAAACATACTATTTTGTTTTTACTAGCCTTTTTTGGTTAATATACTAGAATTCAGTAAGAGAAATGCTGTCCAGTACTCGTACACCAAGGCAAACTAGCCTACAGTTACATATGAGGTCATTTATGATGAGCAAACAATGGATTAGGTAACAGTGAGGAAAATTCTGGAAGTTTGAGTTTGTGTGCTTACTAGCAACCACTTTCAACATTTCTTCAAAGCTAGAGAAGGTATCTTCTAATTTAAATTTCTTTAAGAATTATCTGTTGTGTAATATACTGTCAACAGGAGGTCAGTTTTAAAGGAATACTACTGATAGCCTGAAAGACTGTGGAAAAGAAATTTTTTCCCCCTTACATACTGATAGTTCTTATATTTTCATTCCTGCAATTTTTATATTAACAAACATTGGATTAGCAGCAAGAGAGTTGAAAATGGCAGAAGTTGGAAATGACTGCTATTTCTTTTTTAATTCCACATGCATAAAGGTAAATATTGCACAATTTATGGTACTTCACATGCTTAAGCTTTTTAGTAGAATGAAGGAAGGATATGGCAATAATTCGCATTGCTGAATCAAAATTTACTATTTTCCCGCAAAATATTTTACATATTTAAAATCTGAAGTAAAAACTTATCATCTATTTTTGATATATTGAATTTCTCTGAGACAATCTGTGATAATTTAAGATTATTGTTTATTGGAAACTACCATCATACATGCCAGTTATTTGCATTTGGCTTTTTGATGTTCAGTGGCACTTTTGCCTATTTTATGGCTCCTTGAGACATCAAATTCCTAATGTTCAAATGTTATATGATACATCATACTGTTTTGGTTAATAGATTCCAGTCATATAAATTCAGAGGGTTAAATTCAGGTCACTATCAAACTTAGCTTAATAAATCTGATTTCCTATTTGAAATTCATTAACCCAATTGCTGAATTTTCCCCTGTCAAAAGTATAAGTAAAGTAACAGCAAAAGTTTAAGTAACCGCAAATATTTAATATCATGGAAAAAGGGAAAGAAGTAATATAAACAAATTAGCTAAATATAAAGTTTATAAAGTTAAATGGGAAAAAATTTTAATCTAAGAGATTAGGATTAATGGATCACAATGAAATCAGGTAAATGCAGAAATTTAGAGCTTCATGTTCATGCCAGAATGAACACAGCGAAAGACATGATGTTTGTGGTTTAAAGTGTTTCATCTCTGCTAGGAAACCTGAATGGAGTCAACTTCTTTGACTGTAAGAATTAGATTCTCTTCTATTGCCTGTTACCTTATGATTAAACTCTGGGATGATAAATAATAGTAAAATTTATGTTCCATGTGGGCAGAGAGTTTTGTCTGTTTCACTGCGATGTACCCAAGTACTTAGCACAGTGATTGATGGGTAGCAATTTCTCAATAAAGTAATTAAATGAGTAAATTAAAATACTAGCAGTCACAATACCTTACCTCACATAATTTTTACAACAATCTGTGAAGAGGGCATTTTATTCCCTTTTTACAGATGAGGAAACTGAGGCACAGAGAGGGTGAGTAATGTATTAATTTTGTGACTATGGACAAGTAATGGATCCAGGAGTTCAAATAGCAGTTTATCTAGCCCCTGCCCACTAACTTGTACTACAAGATCCACAGATTCACTTTTGAAAGGGGGAGAGAGTGAAGACAGGAGTAAAAGGGTGATAAAAGATAAAGAACAACTATGGAACATGTTAAAAGAGGGAAGAACTTAACAGAATATTTTTATTGTATGTTACCCACCTGTCTGCCCAAAAGACAATGGCCTACAGTTTTTCTGACTGTGGATCTATGTGTAAAAGACATAGAACATAAAAAGTAAAAAAACTAATAGCAGCCCATCAAAATAATCCACATCTGTATTTATTGGTATATGAAGATGTCAATGTGTATATGTATTGGCACAATTGTTTTATCTTTGTTGACCAAGTGCAAAAGCATATGTATTTAACATAATGCAGCATAATGTGGTAATCACTTAAAATTCCACAATAATGTAATTACATTTATTTTCCCTATATAAACACACTTAACAGTATCTCCATAGACCAAGAAAAGATTATCTAATGAAAAGTTTAATTAATAAAGATCATCTCCGTGATTAGAATATGGCTGTTGATTCTTAACAAAATTTTTTCTGGCTTTCTCCAGAAAGAGAAATGAGGTTGTTCTGTTGTTGGACTGTGGTCAAGAATATCACTGGTCTCTCATATATTTATCCTCAGTGAGCCATATGGATTAACTGATAACAAAAATAGCATTTTATCAGTAACTTGTGGCGTGTTGTACTATTTAATCATGAGATTATCTATCAATCTGTCACTAAAATTAGACCAATTTGCTAAAATTTAGACATGGCTTTATATTTGTAGTGTGTTTTTTTGTGATTCTAATTTGATCTACTCATATTTCCTTTAATTAACTAGCAACCTGTGTTGGACACTAACGTTAATATGCTGAGTTTTCTACACTATTTACTTTTTTCTTGTAGGGTTCCCAGTGCCGATTCCGACACTGTGAAGAGGCCCTTGGCAGTGACACTGTGTGCTCATTATGGAGAGAGGGAAAATGTTTAGATCCACTTTGCAGATTTAGACACATGGAAATGCAGGTAGAATTACTCAGCCTCATCATGATTGTTAAATGAGTCTCCCTTCAATAATATTGAACTATACTCTTACAACACGTTAGAAAAGAAGTGATTCTTCCTTCCACTACTTAATTTTAGGCATTTTGCGCTTTTCTCAAATTATTAGAAAAATGGAGGAATATGTTTTAGGAATATCTATTGCATCTTTTAAAGAGCAGAGCTTAGAAACACTGAAACCCAGGAAACACACATAATCCTAACGCAGTAATTGCAATAGTTTTTGTCACACTGTGTTGTGTTGTAGCACACTGTATTTATTTTGAATATGGCGTCTGCTCATTTCATTTCCCCCATCTCCTTTGCCTAGCAAAACTGCAGCATTTCATGCTTCTGGGAAACTCAGCCTCTTGGTTGCGTGAAGATCAGTTGTATCTTTTATCACAGCAAACCTCGAAATATCAATGGATTATTTTTACCACCAAGTAGCAGTGAGTATAATTTTTAAATAGCATAGACATACCATATTATAATCCGCTTTTGGGGTAGCAGCATAAAATGATATGTTAATTAAAGTACAGCAAGGTGAGTAATGCGGTATAATAGCCAGTGGATGATTTGGGATGATTCTAACAATCGTGAGATGAAGCTTAGAATGAGCCATCAGGTAGCTAACAAGACGAAGTGAACAAAGAGCAATTAAACTTTCTCTGACTGTGTATCTAAAGTGGATTTTATTCATCTGAAAAGTGAGACAACGACTGACCTCATGCAGCAGAAGGAAACTGTGTCTCAGCAAAGCATCACAAACTGGAGCCGAGCTCAGAGGTCATGGCCTCACCATTGCTCCCTGTGAATGTGCAGAAACCTATCTCATAGGTGGGGAGAGCAAGGGCATGTCCTGGGTTGCACACTTCTTCTTCTAGAAAAGCAGCTATATATGTGGTCCTTCCTAAGACTTCAGTTGTGGAGAAAATACAATCCCATTGCTGCAAAAGCTGAGGCACAATTCAATCCACCCACATGATACTGACACACTCTGTGGTGAACCTTAAACTAGGTTCTGGAAGGGGACACAGAAGACACTATGCCCTAAAACAGTGAATACAAGAAACTTGCTTAAGAAGTTGAGAATGTCAGGTTTCCCTGATGCTGTAGCTACTCCACTCTCTTGCTATAGTCTTCATAGTTCTCGTGATGGAATAGTTCTAGAAATGAGTTTACAGGATATCAGTCCTTTGGGATTTGAAAATTTGGCTTCAGATAATCCTTGGCAAATGGATAGCTAAAACTTAGGTCCCCTTGGTATATTCTTCAGGAAAACTCTGACCACATAGCATTCATCATACATATAATACTTGGTCAATGATTCTCTTCCTCACTGGACTGTAAACATCATGAAGATAGAGAGCATAGCTAGTTTCCTTACCAATGCTTTGTGCAGTATCTGGAGCACAGACACCCAGTAAAATTGGATGTATGGAAAGATGGATAGGGGATGCATAGATGACTACTGAAAGGTAACCCACTTGAATGAAAGTTATGGTACCTACTAAGTGATTAACTTGGCCCCATTGGTTTACATATAGTGTGATTTTATTTCATGAGGGACATCGAATTAATTCTTTATAACTAGTTAATAGTTTGCTTCCTGATGGTCTATGGGTAAAATTACTATCTTTAGAATTAGCTCTTTCAACTAAAGGTAAACTAAAACTGCATCTCTGGGCAAAGGAAGGGTAGAATGTCTGTGTAACTGACAGTTACTGGGCTCCTCACTATAGGACATGCCCTGGGCTGGGTTCTATAGGGATACATTGTATTCTCATAGATTAGACACGGCATCTGGTTGTCACAGAGAACTTCTGGATTTTCTGGAAGTCCACTTTCTTCAACAGGTATCAAGGCTGAGCCTGACTCTTGAAGTAATCTTTCCCTTCTCTCAAAAGGGTCAAAACTAGATCCATGCACTGGGACCAAACCCTTCTCCTAGGTATTCAGTCTCCATCTTGAGAGGAGATAAGCAGGGTTCATAGGTTGCTGATACCCTGCTTCCTCAAACTTCCTCTTCTCTGTCTGTAGAGGACAAGAGGGAGTCCCATACACCCATGTCACCCTCTAACAGCCTCATCATGTCCACTTATCTGCTTTGAATTCACCGGGACTAATTTAATTCTGCCCTTTACTCCTGTTTATGTCAGTTTATCTAGGAAAAACAAAAACACTCCTGTGTGTTTCTCTTTTACTCTCACACTGCTACCATATTCACAATACTTCTGATACCAGGTGGGCAGAATCTTTCCCACACCGAGCAATTCTCTGTGATACCAGCTGGGTGTCCTACAATTCAGTTCAATTCTGACACTTACCAGAGATAGTGCAGACCCCACAGGTTAACGGCTGAGTCGCAAAAGCCTGCTCCCCACTTCAGATGTCAATCGCAAGTAGTAGGTCCCCAGGTTCTCACAATTTCTGTGTAACTTGGCTACAAATCTGAGGTTCCCATGATTTCCCTATTTGGATTTGATCATTTGCTAGAACCGCTCACAGAACTCAGGAAGATGCTTACTTACATTTACCAGTTTGTTATAAAATAAAAGATATCATAAAGGATACAGATGAACAGCCAGATGAAGAGGTACATAGGGTGAGATCTGAAAGGGTCCCAAGCACAGGAGCTTCTGTCCCTGTGGAGTTGGGATGTGCCACCCTCATGGTACATGGATGTGTTCACCAACCTGGAAGCTTTCTGAATCCTGTACCTTGGGCACTTTTATGGAGTCTTCATCATGTAGGCATGATTGATTATTAACTCAATCTCCAGTCCTTATCCCCATTCCAGAGGATGAGGGGTGGGGCTGAAAGTTCCAAGCTTCTACTCATGGCTTGGTCTTTCTCCTGATTACCAGTCCCCATCCTGAAGCCATCCAGGAACTCACCAAGAGTCATCTCATTAGAATAAAAGACTCTTATCATGCAGGAAATTCCAAGGGACATAGGAGCTCTGTGTCAGGAACCAGGGTCACAGACCCAATATGAGAACAAAAGATGCTCCCAGTGCTCTTGTTAATTAGGAAATTACAAGGGTTTTTGGAGCTCTGTGCCAGGAACTGGGGTAAGAAACCAATATATGCATTTTTTTTTAATTATTTTACATCAGTCAGTATCAGAAACCCCATTTCTCAAGTGACTCATTCTTGTCCTTATTTAGTCTTTACCAATCTCATGTCATCAGATTATGACATTATTACTCCTCAGTGTTGCTGTTTTTTGCTTGTGTACACATCCATCAAGGTCCTCCCTCCCTGTTTTCAGCAGTATGAACTCCTGACTCATTGTCAGTATAACTGTACTCCTGTGTCAGTTTTTGCTGATTTTAATATATAAATCTATCTAACACCCTAGCCTCTCAGTTTCTTGAACTCAATTCCTCTACTGACCTTTTCCTCCTCTCATCTCTGTCACTCTCTCTTAGTCATACTCTAAATGCTAATTATCACCTGCCACCCTACGATCACAATGACATACATTTCACCCTGTGGCCTATTCTTCTATTTCAATCCTTTTAGAATCCTGACTTAAACAATGCTTTTAACCCCCTGGAACCCGCAATTCATTGATTGTACCATCTTTTCACAATCCTTCCCTCCCTAGATGTCTTGCCTCACCTCTATCTGGCACTGTGTCCCTTGCACACCCTCTCCACTCTCTTGCTACTTTCTGGCTTCACTATATTTGCTTGGCAACTGTAATGCTGGTTAAGCACAACCCTCTGTCTACTGAGCACCTGAATTCATTACGGCTGAACATAGCTTCAGAAACATACACAACCGTGCTGATGGGGTTAAATTCTTGACCACAAACCTCACATGCGACCTTAATGCTGACTGCCAGTCATATACCTGATACTCCCTGTTCATCCACACACTCCTAGACTGTTATTTCATACCTTCTTTCCTCTCCTTAAACCTCATACCCCTCCTTCAGGTCTTACTGAGACCTTATGCCTTGTGTCTTACTGAAGTGAGAAGCTTTAAGTAATGAGAAGAGAACCTGTCACTACATTTACCCACCTATTGGCATCTGTATTTGCCTCTTCTCCATTCTTACCAAAGATGAGCTATCCATACGCCCAGCTAACGCCTATCCTTCCATTAATTAACTGGATCTTGCCCCTTCTTGTCTACTCAAGATTGCTGATTCAGCAATTCTTCCTTCTTCTATACTTGGCTCACTCCTATCAGCATACAAACAGGCATTTATTTCTCTAATTATTAAAAATCCCTGTCCCTTTTCTTGACCCTTTCTATCACAGGGTACCACCCCATCTTTTCTTTCCCATTATAGTAGTTCTCCTCAAAATGGTTATCTATTCTTGCTGTCACCAATTGCCAAATCCTCCCCACCCATTCTCTCTTAATCCCATGGTAATCAGGCTTTTTAGACCCTTTCACCAGTGATATACAGATTGTTAAATCCACTGGTCAATTCTCAGTGCTTACACGACTTGAACCATTAGCAGCATTTGACACATTTGATGCCCCTTCCTCCTTGATATAATTTCCTTATCTAGCTTCCAGAACACCATACCCTTTTCATTTTACCCCTACATTGCTAGTGCTCTCTTATCACTCTCCCTCGCTGGTTTTTCCTCTTTCCCCAACCTCTTACATGGGAATGTTCTAGGAGTTAGTCCTTGGTTCTCTTTTCTTATCTGTCTACTGCCTTGGTAATCTCATCCAGCCCATGGCTTTGAATATGATCCACAAGTCAATGACTCCCAAATTTATATATCCACTCCAGACCTCTCTCTTGAACTTCAGATCTCTATCTTCAACTTTTCACTTAAATTCAACATGGGTGATTAATAGACGTTTTCCACTTAACATGCTCAAAACTTAACTCATGATTTTACTCTGATACTTCCAAACCTGCTACATTCATAGTCTTTCTATCTTGGTTTGATAGAATTCTATCCTTTTAGCTGCTCAGGTCATCCGAGTCATCCGCAAATTCTGTTTCTCTCATATCCCGTATCCAATCCATACAGAAATCCTGTTAACTGTACCATCTTAATATATCCAGAATTTGACTTTTCTCACCATCTCTACTACTCCCACTCTGGGCCAAGCCACCATAATTATCTCATGCCTGAATTACTTCACTAGCCTCCTAACTGGTTTCTATGCTTCAACTCTTGTCCCTCTATGTCTGTTCAAAGCACAATAGCCAGTGCAAGTTAAAAGCACAGTAGCCAGTGTGATACTCTTATACATGTCAGATGTCACCCCTCCAAAGGTTTCTAATTTTTTTCAGAGTAAAACCAGTCCTAACAAAGGCTTAAACGACTCTGCTTGATCTGGTGCCCTGTCATCTCTTGGGATTTATCTTTCACAGCTCTTCTACTTGCTCACTCTGCTCCAACTACACCAGTTTCATTGCTTTTCCTACAGCATGCTAGCATGCTCCTGCTTCAGGGGCTTTGCATGAA